GTAAAGTGAACCATGCCTATCAGAGACAGAAAGAAAGAAGAGGAAAGAGAGACGGAGAAAGACTATACCATGTATTCAATTTTTCTTTGCAAAATGCCTACAAGATTAAATTGGATGGATACAAGAACAAGAAAAAAATGTTTTTGTTTATGGATTTTCCATTTTATGTATTTATTCCTATGTTATTCTATGACGTTTATTATTGCTCTTATCCTTTCTCATCTTCTTTCTGCCTTTAGAAAAAGCCTTTCATATAAAGAAAAAAGTTTCTATAGCAGAGGACATTTTCCCTGAGCTCTCTGTTCTTGGGTATATTATATAGACTATGTTTCTCCAAGTTCACTTTCTAGGCCACCACAAAGTAATTTTGGTTTTGCATTTTTTTCCCATTATTTTCATGCATGGCTACTTTTAAAAAGAAAAAGTTAAAAATGAAAAATGTCATACGTAGTGGTGTGCCTTACAGCACAAAATAACATCCATTTAGGCAGTTCTGTCCTAGAAACAGACAAAGAAAATCTATCTACAGTACTAGAGCCAGAGTCTCCACACACAGCTAACAACTCATTTGACAGAAATTCCAATGTTTTAAGGAAGATTCTTGCAGGGGAGGGGAAGTATTCTTTGTAATTAGCAGGCTCTTATCATGGTGTTGTGAAATTCATGAAAACAGAATGAAAGTTCTACTTGAACCACAGCTACTTGGGATCTCATCTGCATACCTCCTAAAGCCTGCGTTGTGGTGCTATCAGAGCTGATACATAGAGATGGGTTATTTCCGCCAGTAGCAATTTTATTTTTTAGAAATATCTGGAGACATTATTCATAAGCATTCATTTCTGCACTCTTTCCTGCTGAGAACCTCCCTCTCTTGACACTGTGGGTGGCCAACTTTGAAATCGCCTAATGATCCGTTAGATACAAAGAGTGCAAGAAGAGTTATTTATTTTTTTAAGTTAATACATGCAGGAGTCCTTTCAGTTCTAGAAGACTTCTGGCATCTGGCTGTGTTATATAAATAGTGGGCACCCTTTTCAAGCCAGTTTCTTTTATTTTTTTTAATCAGCTAAATTTTTCTAAAGGTAACGTTTAATACTTATAGAAATGACAGTCAGTTAATATTCTTACCATATTGTAGACTTGTAATCAAATATCCTGTAGCAGTTACAATGCCAAAATGTATAGATGTTTGCATATGCTTAGCTAGGTGGTATTTTTTTAACTAAGCTTTAAAATGACCGAGTGAATTTTTTCCTCTTTTATGTTGAAGTTAAACATAATGCACATACAGCAGACTGCATATGGCACTCCTAAAATGAAAACTTTCTCATCTTTGTACTTTGATGGATATATATGTTTTCCGATATATGTTGGTCAAAAGTCAAAACATAGCCCAACAACAGAAATAAAATTATAACATCCTGTAAGGACACAGTAATAACTGATGCTCATCAAGCTTTTACTCTGGAGAGAATATTTGTCTCAGAGGGATGGGTTTAAGTCAAAGTAGGCTATGCAAAAGAATCTCCTAATGAAATTTTTTAAATGCAGACTCTTCAGCCTTACTTTAGATCTTCTAAATCAGAATCTCAGAGGGCAAGAGGAGCATGGGAATCTGCATTTATCAAACGCATCCAGGAGAGTCCCTGGTAAATCCTTTGGTGCCAGTTCACAGACCAGCTTTTAGAAACTACTGTCATCTGAATCCACATATTACAGAGCTAAGACCTTAAAATACTTGATACTTTTTCTATTCCTTTGTCACATACACTGTATCTTACAGAGATTTGTTCATGCATTTATGATGTCTCCTACAAAGAATGCGAAAGCGAGTCTTATTAACCGCTTGGCACGTGGCTCCATCCATAATGTAGGTGCACGACAAACTGGATGGCAGCAATTGCAAAAAAAATATGGTCCTCTGGTGTATAGGTAAAAACTTCACCATAATCTGGATTATTTTACAGACCTACTTTTAATTCGGAAAAATCTCCTGACTTGCTTAAAGGAAAATTTCCAAAAAAGGTTTCTATGTGGTTTAGAGGTCTTGTGAAGGATAAAATTTTTAAAACTTTAGGGATGAAAAGATATATTCCATGAAAAAAATGTATTTCATGTAAATATATTCTCTCAAAGCTAATTATAATAAGCAGTGACAAATTCACAGCAATGATGCAATATTTAAAGTAAACTGAGCAAAAGAGGGTGACACTGTTTTGAAAACTATTTCCAAAAGTCAGCTGTCTTACATAAGATCCATCAGTCTTAGAGCATTCTCTTTCTGGGTCAACACTGCCTTTTGCTACAAAATGTAGAGAGACATCAAAGTAGGTCAAGTGGCAGAGAAAACAGCAGACTTGGTAGCTTTTGAAGAAGTTGCGATTTAATAACAGGATCTGACAAGATCTGGATAGGAGAAACCTTTATGTCCAGGTGTAACACAGAAGATAGCAAAGATAGATTTAGAAAACCAAATCTATTGGTGAAATGTCTGACACTCCAGGAAGTATTTTGGAACTTTGAGGTACAATTTGAAGTGCCATCATCTGGCAACATCTCAGTTGAGTAAAGCTGACTTTTGCTAATGAGGTGCTAATGGGATATCAAGAGAGGCCAGAAGACTCTGGACACTTGCCCTTGGTGAGATATGGTGAGTTTCCCTTTTCTTGAAGAGTTTTCTATAGAATTTCCATTTCTCTCTCTACTCTAGTTGCCTGCTGATATACATATGCACACAGTTAGTCATCTCCGCATGAATTTACACAACCAACTTCTCACAACACCTGATGAAAGCAGAAAGAGGAAATGAGGCTTGATTTATCAATAGGACCTGATTAAAAATAGTGCTTTCCTTGGTTTTCACCATAAAATCATCTTTCCTACATGCCAAATCTGTTTAGGTTTATATGATTAAAGCATTTAAATCAATCAATGCTTAGATTAGTTTGACTTCCACATATGAGGCATTCTCCTTGATCTGAAAAAGACTAATTTGGTCCTTCCAGAATGTAGCTCTCAAAAATGCTACTTTCCTAGACTTTATCACAGAATACAAATGCTTAATACTGACCTTTCAACTCCAAGTAAGATCAGTGGAAGCAAAGTTTTATCCATTACCCCCAAACAACATTAAGTTTCCAACTTACACTTTAGGTCATACCAGAAATACTTCTGTACCTGTTAGGTGGTCCAGCTGTGCTTTTACCACTATTCTCAGGAAACAAGGAACAGCATTGGCTAAGCAGTCCTCAAAATTTTATTTCACAGAAACAGAAGAGCTTGCTCAGGACACTTTATAACCATCTTAGGGGCATCGATCTATAATTTTTTCCCAATCCTGAAGACTTATGAGATTCCATATCTGTCTGCAATGTGTACAATGCTATGCAGGTTGCCATGAAGGTTATAAAATGCATAAATTACTGATTACTCACAGGATAAGCATTATGTGTTGGCAAAATCTGAAGGTTTCAAAGCCTTACAACCCCACCAAAGCCAGGGTTACCTGTTATCTGATACATAAACTTTCTCCATAGTGTTTCATAAATTATCATGGAGAATTAATATTAAAATATGAATATTTTTAGAAAGGAAACACCTTCATTTTCTAAGTCGGGTACTCATTATTATGAAAGAAATGGTTCTTTCCTACACACAAATTTTGGAGTAAGGGGATTCAAAGACATGAGGAAGGTATTGAGAAACCATACAGATAGTTGGGAAAAAATTCATGATATAGGTAAGATCTACAACTAGACTGGGAGGCTGTGTCATAAAAACATAAAAATATGTTAGTTTCCCAATTATCAGGGCTGATCCCAGCACCTATGCTTAAGAGCTAACAGTTGCATTGAGAAGATAAGATGTAAACTCCTAAGATCTGTAAGAAGAGTGAGAGAGAAAAAAAAAGAAAAGATTAAATGGAATTATTTAACTTCAAGTGACAAAATCCCAAATCAAACTGGCTTTAAAAATGTAAAAGCAGTGGAATATATTGGCTCACCATAACTACTGGTGAGATCTGGTACCCAAATAATCAATAATCTATATTTCTCTGTCACTTATATCTACATTGCTAAGTATTAGCTATTTATTCTCAGCTAGGCTCTTCCCTCTGGACAGGCACATGCCACCATCAATTACCAGTGTAGCAACACCAGCAGATAAAAAGAGTAGTCTCCGAAGAGTTTTAGCAGAGGTCGGCCAGTTGGCCTAGTGTGTTGTGTATCCATCCTGCACTACACACTATGATTGGCACCAAGAGTGGAGACAGTCTCTCCCAAACATGGACTGAGAATGGTGGAGGGGTGGCTCTTGGAAAGGAAAACAAAAGCATCTGTGACTTTAAATGGGGCAATGGATGCAGAGAAGGCAGAAATAACAAACTCCAAGTCACTTCTCCCTCTTGAGAATGCTTCCCTGACAGGTAAGAGGAGTATTTTTCTTGAGCTCTGCTTTCATGGGCACTCGCAGCCTGGGGCCACCAAACCATATTTTAAGCTGAAGAGTTATATAGTCATTACAGCTCCCCACTGTGGCTTATTTTCAGAATTACTACAAGCGCAGCTCTTGGAGGATTTTGTCCTCAGTGTGGGGAAGCTTATCACCAGCTTAAAATTCTCCTCTGAGCTTTGAGTCTAAGATGTTTTTTGCTAACAGACATTTGATGCACTTTATTGAGGCAGCACCACACATATTCGATGAAGCCCTGAAAAGGCATCCAGTGTGAAATAAAAAGTGGAGACAAATCGAAAATAAAAATAGGTGGCTTAAAATAGAATTCATGGCTCCAGATAATCTATAAAGCTGTTAATCTGCTTTCAACGGAAAGCACACAGCTACAAATATTCAAAAGTTGAAACAGAAAAAAAGGGAGAAAAGTCACTTATTAGAAAAGATGCAATTATAATTTTATTCGCATATGTGTTCATGAATGTGTATTGTATGTAGAAAATATCAGTCGTTTTCTAATGAATTTTTAAATTTTTTTCCCTTCTCAGTGGTAGTGAAAATCTGTTTTGTGAGTGTCCAAGGCTGTATTCAGGCAAGCTGTGCCAGTTTGCAAGTTGTGAAAACAACCCATGTGGAAATGGTGCCACCTGTGTTCCAAAATCCGGAACAGATATTATCTGCCTCTGCCCATATGGGAGGTCTGGACCCCTCTGCACTGATGGTAAGAGCATTTCATTATTAAACATGAAGCACAGACAGAAAGAGGTGAAGAGGACAGAAATCACTCAGATGAATCAAGGATAGCACTTGACTGATCAAATACATCAAATCTTCTTCTGGGTTCTTTTCAAGTCAGTTGAGACAAGACCCATTAGTGAGACTGATCTCCAAGCAGGTATTTCTCATACCCATCAAGTAATTACAAAAGTGGTGACTGGGCACAGTGGCTCATGCCTGTAATCCCATCACTTTGGGACGCCGAGGCGGGTGGATCACGAGATCAGAAATTTAAGACACGCTTGATCAGCATGGTGAAACCCTATCTCTACTAAAAATACAAAAATTAGCCAGGCATGGTGGCACGCACCTATAATCCCAGCTACTCAGGAGGCTAGGGCAGGAGAATCGTTTGAACCCGGTAGGCAGAGGTGGCAGTGAGCCGAGATGGTGCCACTGCACTCCAGCCTGGGCAGCAGAGACAGACTCCATCTCAAAAAAAAAAAAAAAAGAGTGGTAAGAAGTTTTCCCTGAGGTTAGAGTACAGAAAATCTCTGTACTGTAAAATCTCAAAGTCTAGCTAAGTATAAGAGAGTAACAAGGGGCATCAAGAGCAATATATAAAATCAAATAATTTCATGTCATTTTGGCAAACTGAGAGTACAACATTAACAAATTTATGTATCACAGCCCAGCTGCTTAACATTTAAATGTAACAAAACCCATGATGCAGTTATTACATATCAAGAAACTAAATCACAAACAATAGACATGTGTCTCTCTTTAGGAAAATTCAGTATGAGAAATTCTAAATTACAAAAAGCTGCAAGACGCTGTAATATAAGATTTTAAGAAAAAAAGAAAGCCTAAGAATTTAATGTTAGCTTTGATATGCATAAATGTGTGTAAATATTTTCAGAAATAATAAAAATTCATATTAATAGTTAATCAACACAGCACTGGACTTGCTTTATCATTATTTTCACCATAAATATTTTAAAAAAACCTTTATTCCTTTGGCACTTGTGATATTTGGCACTAAATTTTAGAATAAGGCTTCCAAAGTGAACTCAGGGCCCTCTGGCCCAGAATCACAAAATGAAGCAAACAGATCCAGCCTGTGATGACATGAAAAAGCTGGGTACCACATCCTGAGGTGGCAGGTATGAAAACGGAAACGAGAGTAAAAGAAGCATCTGTGACTAAAAGGTATTGAAGTTTTGGATATATAGGTCTTTGAAAGGAACTGAGATAATGAATTTGTGTGTATCTGAAAGGCAGAATGACTTAAGAAGGGAAGAGTTAAGAAGTACTAAGAATTTCAGTCTGTGTGTGTCAGGGTTATATTAGAAGAAGTTAGCCAAGTCATTTTTATAAAAAGAGAAAACATTATAAACTGAATAGAATTTAAGTCGTGTCCTTTCTCATAAAATCTCATGCTTCTCAGATGTAATATAAAAGCTATTGAAAAAATATAATTGGTTATAATAAATTTGATTACTAAGAGATGAATCATCAGTTTTGCTTCCTACTTGAAAATAATACTGACCATAAAAAATAAGAAGTGAAGATTTAGCAGATGTCTTTATGTACTCACACACACAAAATGATTGTTTACTCCCATCTCCTGGTCTCATTAGAGTTTCAAAGATGCAAGGATATATAGATAATTGAGACAGGAAAAATTAGACATTATTAGGTTCTTTGCCTCAGTGTAAGTTTTAAAAAAGAAGATTCCTACATGCACCTATCCAGAAGAATTTCTCAAAATAATTATCCTATCCATTTATATTCCACAAAGTTGCCAGATCTAGTTTAGAAATGTAAAACTTGTCAAGAAAGATAGACTTCTGACCTTGTGGAGCTTACCTTCTAATTGAAAAGATGAATGGAAAATAAAAATGGCTCAAAACACAATACGAAATTTCTGAGAAGAATTATGAAGGAAATAAACAAGTAGTGATAGACAGTAACTGGGCTGGAGGGCATTTTCACAGGTTACCAAGGCAAGAATCACTCTCAGAGGAGGAGATATTTGTACTGAGGCCTAAAGAATAAGAAGTATGGCCCATGAAAAGCTGGAAAAGGAGCTATCCAGGCAGAAGGTTCAGAAATGAAAGACCCTGAGGAAAGATAGAAGCAGGGCTTTTCAGAGAATGAAAAGATACTACTGTGACTGGTGCGTAAGTGTCTTCATTCACTCCAGCTGCTATAACGGAACACCATAGACTAGGTGACTTATAAACAACAGAAATATATTTCTCACTGTTCCGGAGGCTGGAAAGTTCAAGATCAAAGCACCAGTGGACTTGGTTCTGATGAGGACTACTTCCTGGCTCATAGACAGCAGTTTCACTGTGTCCTCACATGGAAGGGACTAACTAGCTCTCTGGAGTTTCTTTTATAAGGGCACTAATCCCATCCATGAAACCTTTGCCCCGTGATCTGATCACCTCCCAAAGACCTCACTTCCAAATACCATCACATTGGCAGTTAGGCTTTAACATGTGAATCTGGGTGGGGGGGCACATAAACACAGTCTACAGCAATAGTGAGCAAGAAAAAAAAAATATCTAATGTTAGCAGGGCCTAGATCATATAGGACCTTGGGCACATGGAAAGGTTTTTAACTTTTATTTCCAGATGCCTTAGGAAATCACTGGAAGGCTTGAAAAGGGCTAGTGACCTATGTGTATTTGTTTAAACTATTCTGATGGTATTATCTCTAATAGATTTTATAAGGCTATTGGAGTGGTCCTGACAAAAGATAATTATGCCTAGGACAAGGGCAATTACTGTGGGGATGTAGATAAGTGGATAAATTTGAAATCTATTCTGGAGATAAAATATTCAGAACTTGGCTGGGAAGAGTATGAAAAGGGTAAAACCAAGAACATCAAGTTTTCTTTGTCTGAGCTATAGTGTAGATGGTAGTGCCATGAAAAAGAATAGGGGCATAACAGCTTATTTTGTAGGAAACAGCTTATTTTATTGGGAGGTAAACAAGAGTTTCATTTTGTGCAAATGAAGAAAAAGATGCCAGTTAGACAACCGAATGGAGATGAAATGTAGACAATTGGATATATGATGCTGGTGCTCTGAAGCAAGATCAAGACTAAAGATATAATTTGGGGGAGTCATTAAAATAAAGGTGGTATTTAAAACCATAGAACTGTAGATTGTCTAAGGAGAAAATATAGAAGAGAAATATAGATAAAGAAGAGAAAGTGTAGATAAAGAAAAGAAGATCTAAAAAGAGCAGATGAATCCCAGAGAAACCTTCCACAATGTCAATATTTAGATATCTGGTAGAGGAGAGAAAGCTGTATTAAATGCCAATACCATACCCTGACAAACACCCCCCCTCATCTCTCAGCCCATAGATATTGCTCCTTTTATAATGTGGCATTGTCTTAGTCTGGGACCTCCATAAAAACAGAACCTGCATAAGAATTGCATTCAGGTCGTTTATTTGGAAATGATTCCAGGACATAGGAGAGAAGATCTAGTGAGAATAAAATGGGGTAGGAGAGAAAGTCAGTGCAAAGGTGCATAGGGCGTTGAACATAACCGTGGCCAACTGTGCGTGATTTCACTCAAATCTTATGAGGAGCTATACAAAAAGTCTAAAATTGGCTGCCCAAGGGGCAAAAGAGAGAAATATTTGACCATTGTCTCATGGGTCTTTTCAATTGAAGGTTTCTCTACAAGACGTTAATATTCCCACACTTCCAGATTGCCATGCAAGAATGATGAGAGTACAAGTTTTAGCAGGCATCTTAGGTGACAGCCTCAGAAAAGCTGGAGGTTATAGAAAGAGAGCTTAACAGATCAACATTCTATAACATATCAACATTCCATATTTTTGAGTCACAAAAATTACCCCTCGAATGTTCACTCCCTCCAGAAACCTTTTTTACATCAATAGGCATCAATACTTTCTCTACTCCACCAACTAGTATGAGGTGATATCCCAAGTCATCTATTGGATCATTCACTGTTACTATTATGACCTCTAGAAGATTATCTAGAATGTACTGAATATATATTTATTTTATAGAGAAAGGCAGAAAGCAATCCAATAAGCCTAGCTGTTGTTCAATTACAACTACACTTTAGAAGAGGTGCAGAATAACATCTGGGACTTTGCCTTTTTGCTAATACCAGAGGACGAAAAATCAGCTAGTTTGGTTTCATCAGCAATTATGTCTACTACCTAGCACTTTTCTTCCAAATTATGTCCATATCTACCATCTTAATATATTCTTTTGGGGATAATAGAAAATATAATTATCACATTTCCTACCTTGTTGATATTTCCACTGGGGAATTCATCCAGGGGTAATCGTGGCAGTGATGACTGGAGCCGAGACAAACAAACACTGCAGATGGGAAGTTTGCAGCTGCTTTCCTTTTTAAAGAGCTTTACTTTCCACATTTGTGCTTCTCATTCACACTTCCTGTTGCCTCTCCTTATGCAAGAATAATCTTTTTTTTTTTTTTTCTGGTGGCAGTAGGATTTATTAGAATGTTTCTTAATGTATAAAGCCTAGCACAGGTTTTTGTTTTCTTAACCATACCATTCTAAAGACAAAGGTGGAATGCATTATCTTATCTCTTGTTCTCTTTTGTCCTTTCTATAAATATTTCTTAACAATTTACCTTATCTTCCCAACTTAGGCCTCTCAGTGGAACATGGTCCTTGAGGAAAGCAGTGTGACTACCTGAGAATAGGCTCCGGAATCAATCCGCCTGAGTTAAAATCCCCATTTTACTACTGACTAGCCGGCTGAGTGACCTTGGGCAAGTCACTTGGTCTCTCTGTACTTTAATTTCAATAAGTCTAATAATAGAACTTACCTTATAGGTTTTATGAGAATTAAATGAGATAGTGCATGTAAAGTGCTTGACACATAATGGGCATATAGAAAATGCTTTTGTTTTTTAAGGGTGGTCAAAGTAGGATCCTTACCCCTACCGGAAACTGCTACCTCCTGTCATTGT